GAGAGATGACAGCTAGGTTTCATCTCAAGTGCCAGCTCTGACGGGGTCATTCCCACTCAGAGCATCATGGTAAAAGGTTCAGTCATCAATTATTGATGCCTGCTGTGGGTGCAGTAAGGCAGGACAGAACATGTGCACCGTCTATTGCCTCCCCTGGAATAGACACACTTCCAGACACACTGATACCCAAATTGCCACCTACATATAGCCATCCACCATCCTCCTTGCGTAGTGCGAGGCCTCCTCAAAGGCCTGCAGGTAGGAAAGGACCTCTGAAACAATGCTCAGCATCCGCAGCACGTAGAGGTTGGTGTCCGCAAACACTGGCTCCTGCTTCTGTAGACACTCCCGGCATAATTTCACAACCTGGAGTGAGAGACAGAGGCCCTGTCCATCACCATTGCACCGAGCACATGCTTAGTTCATTTACAGAACATCAGACAACACTGGGTACTCATCCTTTTAAGGCTAAGGAAATTGCTGACAGAGGTAGGAAACCACAGGTTTGAGATCTGACGAGCAAAATAATTTAATATGGCTAAGGTGTAGAGATAGGAAGCATTATGGTGGGAGATAGAGCTGATGCAGCTCAGTGAGGAGGTTTCAAAGTCAGTAGATAGCAGGGAGCTATGAAAGGTATATATATATATATAAATACATGTATACATACATACACACAACACACATATATATGCAAATATTTATTTGCTTGATATTTATCTCACCATGCAATGAGATAAGTACTCTTAATATTCTCATTTTATCAGATGAAGTAACCAAAACACAAGGAAGATAAGTATTTTGCTAAAGTCACACAGGTAGTGAGCAGCAGATTAAGGAATCAAACCAAGCAGTTGAAATTCGACTTAAAGGGGACCAGCAGTTAGCATAATGGCTATGTCACTGGACACCCATGTAGTCGACCGCAGTTTGAGTCCCGGGCCCAGTGGCTTAAACTCACACTGGCCGCGTGTGCGTGCATGCCCAAGATCCTGAGAGGAGAGTGGAGGAGAAGGGATTGCAGCGTGGCCATCCCTCCTGGGGGGTGATTTGTCACTTTCTGTCGCTCTGTCTCTCTCTGGCTTTCTGGCGAGCGCACGTGCCCTATAGTGAATTACTGGACAAGCAAACGGTGTAATGGTGACATTGCTGGACTCCTGCATAATCTACCATGGTTCGAATTCCAGACCCAGCAATTTAAAACTCCCATTGGGCACGTGCGTGTGTCTGTCCAAGATCCCAAGAGAACAGAAGAGAAGGGATTGCAGTGGCCATTCCCCCTGGGGGGTGATTTCTCACTTTCTGTCCTTTTCTCTGTCTCTCCAGTGAGTACACATGCCCTAAAGCAAAAAATATCTCTCACTCTCTCTCTCTCAAAAAAAAAAAAAAAAAAAGAGAAAGAAAAGAAAAGTGAATTCTTACCTCATGGTACAAGCCCTCAGAGCGAGCCTTTTCTATTTTTTCCAGTGTATCCTTGGAGAATTGTGTCATCTCCTTCACTGCTTCCTGAGAAGGCTGAGAAAGGAGAGGTTTGAGTTGGAGATCTCTGCATGAGCCAACTCATCCCTTCTTTGAATAGCTGCCCTCCTTGACATTTAACGTAATGCAAAATTAACTGATGCCTTCCTTATACCAAATGTTTCATTTCTACAAATGCTGCTTGAGATCCCTATAGCATTTCCAGCTCCTTCACACTTCTGATACCTGTTGCATTTTATATTGATCAAGGCCCAGAACCTGCTTCCAGACAGTCATCCACAGCCAGCGCTTATTCCTGACACTGGACCCAGCGTTGATCTCCACTGCTCAGCATTAGCAGAACCTAACGTTGATCTCTGCTGTGTTTCCTCTGGCATTTTGGATTCTGATTCTATGGCCCAAAATGATTCATTTTCTTCTTTTCTGCTTCATATTCAGCCAGCCACATATTCTACAGGTACTCCCTTGCACTTTGTCTTCATCTAAGTCATTGGCTTAAACATGTAGCTAAAGACAGAGCCCAAGGACTTGACCAAAAATAAGTACTACAGTTTATTACTGGAGTACATTAAAGAGGGTCCTTGTGATTATGGTTATTCAACTCCTTCCACGTGTCTTAGCATCCAGGTGTTATTTTCTTCTCTTGACCAAAAGAACAACGTGAGAGAACTTGTCAGCGATCTCTATGAAATCTAGTCTCATTAGGCTTACTACATTTGCCTAGGCAGTATAGTGACCTTGGTTTGTCTGTTTGCTTGCTTTTAATTGAGGTTTTGATATCAGAGAGAAGGAAGTACCGTAATTAAGAAGCCAGTTCCCGGGCTGATAGGTGGCATGGTGGTTAAGATGCTGCATTCCATGGGACCAGCAGTTAGCGTAATGGCTATGTTGCTGGACTCCCACAAAGTCGAGCGCAGTTCAAGTCCCAGACCTGGTGGCTTAAACTCACACCAGGCGCGTGTGCGCGCATGCCCAAGACCCTGAGAGAAGAAAGGACGAGAAGGTATTGTGGCATGGCCATCCCCCATAGGGGGTGATTTCTCGCTTTCTGTCTGTCTTTCTTGTGAGCACACACGCCCTATAGCAAAAACCTCTCCAAAAAAAAAAAGATGCTGCAATCATGATTTGAATCCTGGACCTGGCAGTTTGCTTTCTCACTTTCCTTCTCTTTCTCTTTATCTCTCTCTCTCTCTAGTTAAAATTTTAAAATAATAATAATGATAAATAAAAATAAATAAAATAGTTTTTTTTTAAAGCCAGTTCCCATGAGGACACCATAATATTGAAGAAAAAGTGCCAAATTTCTGAAGTTCAAAGGAAAAGCTTACAAGTTATACTTATTCATATTGGAAGTTCTTTTCTCTAACTTTATTTTTTTTTTGCTTAAGTAAATTTTATTTTCCCACAATGTAAATAACTTTATTATTTACTCTGATTATTTAAAAAAAAAAACCATTAAAACAATATGAACAAGCATGGGAGGAAAAAAGTGAAAAATTCCCAGGACTCACCTAAAAATAGTCACATGAGCAATTGCAGAAATGTTTTCTCATGCATACATACAAGAATAATACTTAAAATATTTAACAATTGGGGAACCAGCAGTTAGCATAATGGCTATGTCGCTGGACTCCTATGTAGTCGACCGCGGTTCGCGTCCCGGACCCGGTGGCTTAAAACTCACGCCAGGCGCATGTGCGTGCATGCCCAAGATCCTGAGAGGAGAATGGAGGAGAAGGGATTGTGGCGTGACCATCCCCCCTGGGGGGTGATTTCTTGCTTTCTGTCTCTATGTCTCTCTCTGTCTGTCTGGTGAGCGCACGCGCCCTATAGCGAAAACCTCTCAAAAAAAAATTTTTTTTAACAATTGTACAGGGAGGTATTGACCAAAAAAAATAAGCTTAACATCAATAATGAATATGTCCACTTGGACTTACCAGTGTGTACTGGCTGAGTTTCAGTACTATGTGTACCTATATGCCAATAGGAGCAGGTTTTTAAATATATATATATATATATATATGCAGTTCAAGTCCTGGACCCGGTGGCTTAAACTCACGCCAGGCGCGTGTGCGTGCGTGCCCAAGATCCCAAGAGGAGAATGGAGGAGAAGGGATTGTGGCGTGGCCATCTCCCCTGGGGGGTGATTTCCTGCTTTCTATCTCTCCGTCTCTCTCTGTCTGTCTGGCGAGAGCACGTGCCCTATAGCAAAAAAAAAAAAAAAAACCTCTCCAAAAAAAAATACTATATTTCTGTTGATAGTATTTTTTTTTCACTCAGTATATTGTAGACACTTTCTAATATCAGTTTTTTAAAAATCTGCATCATCAGACTAGTCCTGTGACCAAGAGCTTAAGGGAGCCAGACCCCATGGTTTGAATCCCTGCCCCAGAGGCTTGAAAAACACATTCAGCATGTGTGTGTACATGCCTAAGGTCTCAATAGGTTGGAGAAATAAAGGCGAAAGGATTGCGTCATGACCACGCGCAATGGGGAGTGGTGCTTTCTCCCTTTCTGCCCTGACTCTCTAGCCAGCACATGTGCCCCCTGGCAATTAAAACATAAAATCTGCCTCACTGTTTTTACTAAATGTTTTTACTCCACTGTATGCAGCTAGAGTAATCTATTTAACCAGTTCTTTTGTCTTCCAATTTTTTGACTGTAAGGAACTGAGTTCAATAGTTCCCTTTAGATTTATTGCTCACATTGCTTTGTGAGGTCACGGGTATAGGCAATTGTTCTAGTGAAAATATACCCCTCCCTATAGATGAAGGTCATCTCTCCTCAGCCTCCCTGCTATTTGGGGCCAGCTAATACAAACTAAGCCAATCTTGTAGCATAAGAGGCCCTGGTTAGGACAGCTTGCTTCAGGGTCAGGATCTCTTAAGGTGGGAGCATTATATCTATTCTTCTGTCCACCTCACCCACTTTGGCTTCTGCAGAGTTCTTGACTATTGCTACAATTTAGACTATAATTATTTTTATATCCTTCTGTATCTAGACTTCCCTGGAATTCTTCTGAGTCTCTATATATACTTGTCCCATGGTCAGACTCTGATAAGTGATGTGACCATCAACATTCTGATTCTGCTTGCAGGTCTAACTCCTGACTTAACCTTAGTCCCCCCCCCCTTCGATTTGTCTGAGACTTCCTGTAAAGACCATATCAATCTTCGGGTCACAACTGCTTGCCAGGATGATTTTCAGTTTCCTCACTCCAAGTGACATTGACATATTGATCACAGCTTCCTTCTCCTACATCTATCTATACGAAAATTTACTCTGTGTGGGTGAATATTTCACTTCTAATTTTCATAAGTGGTAGTATACCGTTTATGGGTTGAATTGCATCCCCCATTCATATGTTAAAATCCTAACCTCCAATATCTCAGAATGTGACTTTATTTGAAAACAGGATAATTGTGGATGTAATTAGTTAAGATGAGCCACCGTAGCACAGGCAGAAGGTGCTGCTGCATGATACTGAAGCCATATGAGAGGTACTGAGTTCAGAGTCCAGGTCGACCTGAACATGTGAGGTGCACCTCTTGGTGCATCCATGATCTTGGTTGGCTGAAAGATTGGAGGAAGGATCATGGCATGGTGAGACCTTGTCAAGGGTCTCTCTCTCTCTCTCTCTTTCTCTATCACACACACGCAAAGGAAAGTTAAGAAAAGAAGGAAAAGAAAAAGAAAAGAAAAGAAAGAGAAGAGAAGAAAAAAGAAAAGAAAAGAGAAAAGAAAAGAAAAGGCAATGACCAGAGAGGGTGACAATGTGAAAGGAGACAAAGAGAAGATAGCCCTCTACAAGGCTAGAGGAGAGAACATATCCTTTCTTCACAGTCCTCAGAAGGAATCAATCCTGTGGACTATGAGCCTCCAGAACTGTGAGACAATAAATATCTGTTTGTTAAGCCATCTAGTTTGTGATACTTTGCCATAGCGACCCTGGAAAACTATACACATGGCATTGTTTGATCTCTTAATCCTTTTTCCTTTATCTATATGTGAAGCTATATCTGTACCTAAAGCTCTATCTCATTCATTTTAATGACTGCAAGGTATTTTCTTAATTTTAAATGTTTCTTTACTTGTTGTTATTTAGATTTTAATCAATATTTTGTTATTCTGCAATGCATATCTTTATACATATATCTTTGTGACATGTGCAAGTGTATCTGCAAGGTAAATTCGTTAAGACTTTTTGATCAATGAGTAAAAAAAGTATTTGTTAAAAATAAAAATAAGTTAGTGACAAAATAAAGATCCTAGAACAACCAGGATATAATAGGGGGACATAAATCAAGTGGGGGAACAGTGCTAACCATTACTTCTGACATCATTGAGTAATAAAAGCCATTAAAAGGGTCACACCATCTGTACTCAGGGCCAGGTTTTCCTTTGTAGCCTTTGAAAGCTTCTCCCTACTCATAGGAAGCAGAAGTTAATTTAGCAGTATATTTGTGGGGAGTCCCAGAGATAGAAAAAGCAACAGAGAAGCAGAGGCCACCAGGTTGGAAGGAGCAACATGGAAGCAGAGGCCACCCAGCCTTAGCTCATCAGCAGGGACCCTTGCCTACAGTGGGGGAGGAGAGGCTCAAACATCCTTCAAGGACCACCACTCAATTCCTGCAGTCCCAGAGGTAAAGGAGCAACAGGAAAGCAGAGGCCTCTCAGCCTTAGCTTATCAACGGGGACCTCTGTTCAGCCTGCAGTAGGGAGGAGGGGCTACTGGTCTTCAAAGACTGCTACCTGGTTCCTACAGTCCCAGAGACAGAAGGTAGAAGCTGCTGCCCCATATGTGCTGATGCAGTTCTGTCACTCATCCATCCAGAAGCAACAGAGAAGCAGAGACTTCTTAGCCTTAGCTTATCAGCAGAGACCTCTGCCCAGCCTGCAGTGGGGAAGAATAAAATGCTACAGCCCACACACCATGCTGTGTATGAATTAGACTATCATCTAATACCCTACCTGTCCATCTCAGCCTCCAGCCACTGAAAGCAGAAAGATTTGGGTAAACATTAACTAAACACCTGAAAACAGTGAAGTTTTGTAGGAATTCTCTCCTCACAAGCCCCACAGCAACAACAGGAGACAAACTTCCTTCTGAAAACATAAACACAAAACTCCCACTGTGGATTCCACACTCCCACCCATGGTAGAGGAGGGAAACAAGCATAGAACTAGCTCACACCATAAGGAATCACACAGGCACACAACTACAGAAACTCCAAAAAAGTAGGAAGAAGTGAGTAAATCACCAGATGACTAGAAATCAAAGCAGAGTCAAATAGGAGAAAACAGGAAATAACTTAACCAAAGGAACATAATAACTCCCCACCAACAGTAGATAAAATGCAAAAGTTCACAGAAATGTCAGAAAAATAATTCAGAATATTCATTGTAAACAAAACTCAATGAGATGCAGGAAAAAACAGAGAATCAATTGCAAGAAATGAGAAAATCCTTCCATAACTTGAAGGAGGAACTCCATAAAGAGACAGATACTTTGAATAAGAATCCCACAGAACTTCTGGAGTTAAAGAATATTACGTAGAAAATAAAAACCTCCCTCAAAAGTATCAATAGGGGAACCAACAGTTAGCGTAATGGCTATGTCGCTGGACTCCCATGTAGTCAACCGCAGTTCACATCCCGGACCCGGTGGCTTAGAACTCATGCCGGGCACATGTGCACGCGTGCCCAAGATCCTGAGAGGAGAATGGAGGAGAAGGGATTGCGGTGTGACCATCCCCCCGGTGGGTGATTTCTCGCTTTCTGTCTCTATGTCTCTCTCTGTCTGGCGAGAGCACGTGCCTTATAGCGAAAAACCTCTAAAAAAAAAAATTCTAACATAGACAACAAAAAAAAAAAAAAGGGGGGGATCAATAGCAGATTAGACCAGTCAGAAGAAAGAATCTCTGACCTTGAAGATAAAACCTCCAATTTAGTTCAAGCAACCATAAATAAATGAATAAATAAATAAATATCCAGTTAAAATGAGGACAACATACGGGAATTCCTAAACATCATTAAATGGCCAAATATTCACATACGTATTCCAGAAGGTGAAGAGACAGGTAAAGGCATAGAAAATCTCTTTCATGAAATATTAGCTGGAAACTTTTGAAATTTAGAGAGGCATAAGGACATCCAAATCCAGAAAATATAAAGGACACCAAATAGATACAACATATGTCTCCAAGACATATCATAGTTATATCATAGTTATAGTTGGTTAAAAAAAAATCAAAGGCAATGATAATATTCTAAAAATGGCAAGAAAGAAATGCCAAATTACATACAAAGGGTATCCTGTTAGACTAATATTGGATCTTTAAACTCAAGTAATGTAGACCAGGAAAGAATGGGAAGACATATTTAAAACTCTGAAAGAAAGACAATTTCATCAAGAGTACTATATTCAGTGAGACTATCCTTCAAATAAGAAAAAATAAAACCATTCACAGATAAACAAATAATTAATTAAAGGATTCACCAATACTAAACTGGCTACTTAGGAAATATCTAAGGGTATAATATAGTAAGACTAGAGAAACTAAAGGGAGATAAATAGAAGCAAGAGAACATAAAACAATTGGGAGGGGGAAGAGTAGCAAAGGGATAAGGATAAGTCTACACATATTTATAGTAATATTTAATGTCAGAATTAAATTCCCCAATTAAAAGGCTAAAAATTCAGATTCAACTATTTTACACACAAGCAGGTTTAAGTACAAATTCACCAATTAGCTGATAGACAGTTGTCTCCACAAGTTTCATATTGCATTTATATACTATTATAATCATTATTTATTGAATAAAATTAGATAACAGGAAAAGTCTAAAATGCTTAATCTAGCTAAGTCTTTCTTTGAAATTAATTAAAAGAAGACTAAAATCAAGAACATCATAAAGCCTTCTCCCTGACTCCAGGGTCTATAAAATTGCCAAATCCAATTGGGTGAGGACCCTCCAAAAGGGAGATGCACCTACATCTGTGCTGATCCACCTGACCTTCCCCTAATGCTCCACTCCATTAATAGATGAGCAGCAGTCAACTCTTCTTCCTGTTGTAGCTCTTGCTTACATGATTGCAGTAAGTGATTGAAGTCTTCATTCTCATTTTTGGATAGTTGCTTTAATTGGCTACTCTGACACCTGGCAGCTCAGCTGTCCCTCTCCATGCAACTGAGCTCCTGAGGTTCCCTTAAGAAGCCTGCCTTGGACTCACCAACAACCAGCAACAGCTACTCATGAGTTGACGATATCAAACAACCCAAATATTGCTAGATCTCCATATCACCTATCACCATGGATATAGAAGTACCTTTGTGATAACAGATTAAAAATCTCTTTGCCCATCTGATCTCAATATCTGAAGTTCTCAATGTTACTAAATTTATAAATGGGCAAGGGGAGGAACCAAAATTTGCTAAGGATCTACTCTATATGACATTCCCTTTACATACATCACATACATCATCTTTAATTCCCATAACAACCACTTTAAGTGAGGCCATCATTTCTATTTTACAGAGATAAAACTGGGCCTGACTTGCACATCTCTGTCCCCTCATCGCGTGCCACCTCCCTAAGAGTTAAGCCAGGTCCTCTGAGAAGGTAATGAACAGGGACATGTTGATTAGCCAAGAAATCCACCCCTGACTGGATTCTAGAAAAGATGACTACAAATCCCACCACACCTCACCCCACCCCACCACCACGACAGTACCTTGGGGTCATCTTTCACTCCCAAAAAGAGATCGTCTTTCAGCCCTTTCTGGCAGTGCTCACACGTGCAGTCAAAGTAGTACTGCTTCTTCAGCTGCTTCCTGCGCTCCTCACTGAGGTTGAGGAAGTCAATGTAGGACACGGTCAACTCCTCTCCTTCTGAGATTTTTCCCAGGGCCCGGAGCTCAATTCTAGAGCAGGTGAGAGGAAAAGAATAAATTGGATCAAGACCTACTGAGATGGGATTCACTCTTGCCAAGGCTTCAAGAGAAAAGCCTCAAAGATTGTGACCTCCACCAGAACTCTGAGAAAACTCCCATTTTTCTGTGACTTAAAGGACAGTTTTCTGGATAATTCAACCCTACTCCTTCTGGGAGTCAAATCTGCTCTGTTCAGTTCATCACTCTGGAATCACCTCCAGTAGACTCCTAGAGAGGGCTGGGCTTGGTCATAAAGCCATACATAGTGGGACCTGCAGATAGTGTAATGGTTGATTGCTGGACTCCCACGTAGTCAGCCAGAGTTTGCATCCCAGACCAGGTGGCTTAAAACTCATACTGGGCATGTGTGCATGCATGCCCAAAATCCCAAGAAGAGAATGAAGAAGGGATTGTGACATGGCCATGGCCCCAGGGATTGATTTCTCACTTTCTGTCTGTCTCTCTCTGTCTTCCCAGTGAGCACACATGCCCTATAGCAAAAATCTCTCTTAATTAAAAAAAAAAATGCATAGCTTCCATGTTTGTGATGATCCCCATACATTTAGTTACTGATTATCTATAACAAAGGAAGAGAGACATCTAAGGCACAAACTCCAAACAAATAAATACCTAAAGGTAATTTCCGGTTAGTTTGGAGACTACTCTCAGAAATATACACGTGTATTCAGGGAACCAGCAGTTAGCGTAATGGCTATGTCGCTGGACTCCCATGTAGTCGACCACGGTTCACATCCCGGACCCGGTGACTTAAAACTCATGCCGGGCGCGTGTGCATGCGTGCCCAAGATCCCGAGAGGAGAATGGAGGAGAAGGGATTGCAGCGTGACCATCCCCCCTGGGGGGTGATTTCTCGCTTTCTATCTCTATGTCTCTGTCTGTCTGGCAAGCGCACATGCCCTATAGTGAAAAACCTCTCCAAATATATATATATAATATATATATATATATATATATACATTCAGTTACCCAAATCTTGGGCCATTCTGTATCTATTTAAGCCCCCTGGACTAACCTTCAGCCCAGTGTTTCAGGCCTACTTTACATGAGAAAACTTATAACCCCTGGAGATTACTGAAGGCAAATAAACAACAGCTGTGTCTGTTAGTGCACTCCATAACTGGGAGATGTGGCTTACTTGTTAAAGGTGGTTAACAATAGCAGTTGGCATTTCATTTTTTTAATGGCCAGAGGCCATGCGCACTCACTAGAGAAAGAGGAAGAGGGATCCTAGACCTGACCCTCCAATTACCTACAAAACCACCTTGTCATGTAATAGATACAGAAGGTGCTGAAGGAAAAAGCCCATTATATGACCAGCTCCATGGCCTGGTGTTTAAAGCAGCTGGATCCCACAGAGCTGATCCATCATGTGAGTCTGCAGCTTAAGAAACATGCAAGGCACACATGCATTCCCCAAATCTTGAGAGATATGAGAAGGGACTGCAGTGTAACCATGCCCCATTGGAGGTGCTTACTCCTCTCGCTCTGTCTCCCTGTCTCTCTTTAGTAAGTGCACGTATCCTCCAGAAAAAAAAAAAAAAGAAGAAGAAGAAGAAAAAGAAAAAGAAAAAGAAAAAAAGAAAAAGAAATTTTTCATGACCCAATTACTGTAGAACTGACATCTAGCTAAGCCAAACAGATAGAGACCAGCCTGGAGCCTCTCAGCCATGCATCTCACCACCGTAAGGCTGGACAGCTGCAAGACACAAGGGGCAAAGTCCTGCAGATTGGATCCTAAGCTCTGCTCCTAAACTTCCCCGGATGCCTGGAGCATCACTGCCCACCGAGAAGACATAACCCAGAGAGCAAGTGTCAGGATGCAGAGAGCTAAGGAAAGTATCTCCATAGACACCCACTCATTTATTTTACACCCCAGAAAGGCTGAGTTAGACACTGTGTGAAAAGCAGGGCAAGACGCCAGCACCCTCTAAGGGTCCCAGTCAAAGGCACTCTCTTTCAAGTATTCTGAGGGAGTGATCAAGAGTGACTACTAAATAGCAGTGAGTGACAGGCATGTCCAGGCTTCTGAGATGACCATTTAAGGTTAAGAAACTTTTTCCCAAAGAAGACACACTGACATGCCCAACAATTCAACTCAATGGACAGTTGGATTGGAATTTCCAGTCACTTCGCTTCCTATCCTGGTTAAGCCAGTTCTCACAAGATCTTGGGGGCAGGCGGGGGGTGGGGGTGGGGAGCAGTGAGTGACAGGCATGTCCAGGCTTCTGAGATGACCATTTAAGGTTAAGAAACTTTTTCCCAAAGAAGACACACTGACATGCCCAACAATTCAACTCAATGGACAGTTGGATTGGAATTTCCAGTCACTTCGCTTCCTATCCTGGTTAAGCCAGTTCTCACAAGATCTTGGGGGCAGGCGGGGGGTGGGGGTGGGGTGGGGACTAAATTAATATCATTTAAATATTAAACCTGTATATATATTCACCCCTTTTTACCTTACTTGGAGTTGAGTGTGGGAGGACAAATGGTGACTAATGGAATGAACGCTGCAGAAGGAGGCAGGAGATGAGAATTCTAGCCCTGGACCTTCCTCCAACCAGCTTCCCTGGACAAATTGCTTCCACTCCTTGGATCCCTACCTCCAATGTTCTTCAATTCTATAGTTTAATTAACTGAACAACAAGTAGACAATTTATTTAAGTATTGGGTCGTCGAAAAGGTCATAATGCATTTTTACATAGAAACACATAGAAAAATGTGTCATGACTTTTTCATGACCCAATATATCTTACAGAGGTTAGTAACACAGAGATTTGGAATTAGGAAGGTCCCTTGAGACATTCTGCTCTTGACCTTTGCTGTACAGATGTAGAACTCAAGCCCAGATGGCACGAATCATCCAAAGTCATGAGCAATGCACTCCCACAGAGGCTCGGATGCACTGCCCATTCCCACTCTTCCATCCCAAAGCCCAGGCTCCCATGCAGCATTCTGTTCTTAATCTAAAGACCATTTCAAGGACTTTCAAGCTCAGTTCAAGAAAAAGAGCTCTTGGAACCAGCAGTTAGCGTAATGGCTATGTCACTGGACTCCCACGTAGTTGACCGCAGTTCACATCCTGGATCCAGTAGCTTAAACCTCACGCCGGGCCCGTGTGCGTGCATGCCCAAGATCCCAAGAGGAGAATGGAGGAGAAGGGATTGCGGCGTGACCATCCCCCTGGGGGGTGATTTCTCGCTTTCTGTCTCTATGTCTCTCTCTGTCTGGCTGGCGAACACACGCGCCCTATAGCAAAAACCTCTCCAAAAAAAAAAAAGAGCTCTTCAGGGCCACTTAGTTGTTGTTAAGAAAAATCGAAAATAAAATTTAGCTTAACTTATTAATTCATAGTTGGCCAGAAGCAGTGAACAGAACACTATGAATGAATATTTCTCAAATATAACAGGGGCCAAATGGTGGCACACTGATAATGCAACACTTTCTAAGGCTGACCCAATCACAAGGCTGCAGGTTCATATCCAAAGACCTTCCTGAGTACACTGGGCACATGTGTACCCATGATACAGGGCTGGATGAATCTGGGGGATAGATTACAACACCAAGACCCCATTGAGGGTTCTCTCTCTCTCTCTCTATCTCTCTCTTTCTCTCTCCCTCTCTCTTCCTCTCTCTCATTTGTAGAAGACATAAATAAACCTATAAAAGATCACAGATATGGGTATGATTTTCAGAACCCAGCCTGGTTGAGAAGTGAGGTTATAAATAAACATAGCCCTTGAGTAGTAGGTCAGTACTATCAACAGTCCCTATTCATGCAAGCAGAGTTTAGGGAGACAATGTAAGTTTTTGCTAAGATTATGTAGACTAGACGGGCTCATGCTTCAAGGATAGAAGGGCAGAAGAAGTGAGGAGAAAAAGACAGTAAAGGAAGGAAGCAAAATAAAGCAAAGGCAAGGCAGGTAGTGGGTGGGAGAGGAACAACTGGTTCATTTAAATGCATTAAAAACACACCATTCAGCAGAGATGAGACACTGGGGTGGTGAAGGACATTATGACTCAATGGGGGCCAACAAGGCTTGGGAATGGGTGACCCCAGCAAACCAGGCAAGTGAGGGAGATGGGTCAGGGGAGCCGGGATGATTGAAAAGACTGACCCACCTCATCTGGGTGTGAAACATGGATTTCACTGCCTCATGACTGAAAGACAAAACAGACACCCAAGTGGAAATCATTAATATTGGCTGAGCCAGAGTGGCTAGCATGGACGCACAGCACTGTGGGTTACATGGTTAACGCTTTTGCCATCACAACCCTTATTCCAGCCTTTCTAGCTGGGCTCACTGGACAACACAGCCTGGTACAGTGGAAAGTGTGCTGAGTTTGGGAAGAGATGTTCAGGGTTCAAAGGTTCTCAACCCTGAACAAGTTACTTCCCTCCCCTGGACTTGAATATTCTCACCTGTAACCTGGTAATAAGAATGTAGTGAGACAATACATTTAAAAGAAGAACCAAAAAACACATATGCTGTCATTACCATCATCCTATTAATAAGCATCCTGGATAAATAAATGCTGTCCTGTTGGAGATCTGTCTTGGGGAGAGTTTGAGCCACATAGAAGGCTGGTTAGGTCACACAGGTCATGTGTGAAAATTGTTAGGTTAGAACTGGGCCCCTGACATCATGCTTTCTATTGTGATAGGCGCAGAGGCCATAACTGCAAAGATGCCTCTTGCACAAAAGCCGAGAAGCCCGTATAAAACATGGCTGCTTAAAATTAGTGACTATAAAGAAGCCAGAGCAGAAACAGGAGAAGACCTAAAGAAAGGGCTCCCAAGTCCCTTGCTTGGCCCTGAGCCACCACCCCTTACAGGAGTGCCATCTAAAAAGTCCAGCTCCCTTTGAGGCTGAATTTGACCTCTCTGCTAAACGAGGACAACAGTACCCCTAGAGAGTATTTCATAAGGTCCAGGCCAGTGACTCTAAGAGGCTTAGGAAGGGAAACACAAGTGCTTGGGAAAGATTATCATCGAGGGCCAAAGTAAACTTTCCCATCTTGAGTGACTTTCTCAATTGCTTAAGTGCCTGGCTTCAGAAATAGAAAGGAAGGGAACCAGCAGTTAGCGTAATGGTTATGTCACTGGAATCCCACGTAGTCGACCGCGGTTCGTGTCCCAGACCCGGTGGCTTAAAACTCACGCCGGGCGCGTGTGCATGTGTGCCCAAGATCCCGAGAGGAGAATGGAGGAGAAGGGATTGCAGTGTGCCATCCCCCCTGGGGGGTGATTTCTCGCTTTCTGTCTCTATGTCTCTCTCTCTGTGTCTGTCTGGTGAGAGCACGCACCCTATTGAGAAAACCTCTCAAAAAAAAAAAAAAAAGAAAGAAAGAAAGAAAGAAAAGAAAAGAAAAAGAAATAGAAAGGAAAAGGAAAAAATCAGAGTCCTTACTTTATTGGGGCTTAAGCTGAGCTCTCACCTGAGAGTCAGAAACCACTACCTTTGACTTCTAATAAATTTGAAGGGGTGGAGGGAGACTTGCTCATGGTTGATGGCTCAGAGTGAAGTTGAATCTGTCACAAGAGCTCATCTCTAAGAGCAAAAGCAATTAATATTGCTCAGACCTCATTTCCTCTGATCACTCCAGTCCATGTCATGGAAAACCCAGGGGCTTATCCCATTTGCTGATTCTTCTCCACTTGTGCACCTCCCCTAAGATCCATTTTTTGCCCTGTGTCCCTAATCTGTGCCTTCTTGGGAGCAAAGGGCTGACCTCCAAGGCCTTGAATCTCTTGAGGGCCTTTGATCTCTAGCTTCTGAGCAGGGGTTGGCCACTGGGTTGGAGGTGATCAGAAGGTGGGAAGAGTGAGAATTTGGACCATGTAGTCCATTGGCTTCCTCTCTGCCATGCCACAAGGTTCTGGCAGTGGCTGGTTTCTCTGGAGGCAGAGCTATAAGTGCCATGCTGGTGGGGGGCTCTCTACCAGGCTTTGGGAATAGTGCTTCCTCCACTTGACCCTCAGGCCTACAGGTGGTCATGGTTTTGTGCTGTTGTTAGATCCTGGGCACCTCTTCATTCCTTAATCATTTCTTAAACCTTGACCACACTGCTGTAAATTGTCTCTTCATTAAATTCTCTTCTGATAAACCCCTTTGAGTGTACCTCCTGATTCTGGTTGGGACTTTGACTAATATATGCTCCTGCCTTGCCCCATCTCGGTCGAGGCTGTTCTGCAACGACCTAAGTTTCAAGTTTTAGAACAGTAGTTAGAAATTGATCTAACACAGACAGGCAGCTTTAAAAAACATGCCAAGACTCAAAATGATGCATGTAGAATTCTTTTATATCCTCCTTAACACCTTTCTCATAATCACACTTTTTCAGAATAAGATTCCTATTTGCTGCACATTTGAAATCTATGCTAGCCCATGTCCAGCAGGTTGACTTTGGTGTAAGTTGAGTGGAGAAAACATCAGAACATCTCCCCACCTCCATCACCTCCCTCCACACACACTTCAAGACATACTCACTTGCCATTATTAAATATGACAGTGCAGTTGGGCCAACAGTCGTGGTTCACCAGGCCCAAGTTGGGGAAGATGCCCACACCCACTGCCTGCAGGCCTCTCTGGTCACTGAGCGTGAAACCGTTGCAGTTAATCTACCCAGAGGAAAAGACAGAGCAGGTCAACAGACAGACTAGGAATAAGACACCACCCTCACTGTTGAAAGAAGTATTTTTTTAAAATAGATCTAGTCTCCCCCTGGAAATGCTTAGAGAATCTGGAAGCAAAACCTTTAGTCCCCTCTTCTCTGCTACTCCAAATGACCAATGAGACCTTTACCACAAGAGAGTTCCATATTTGCAAAATTGCAACCCACCTTGAAAGTTTTGGGTGACTGCATTCTAAAAAGCCAAAGATAGAAATGCTGGTTCTCTTTTTCTTTCATATATAAATAAATTGCTTTTTTTTTTTTAGAGGTTTTTGCTATAGGGCACGTGTGCTTGCCAGACAGACAGAAACAGAAAGCGAGAATCCCCCCCCCCCCAGGGAGGATGGTCACACCGCAATCCCTTCTCCTCCATTCTCCTCTTGGGATCTTGGGCACACACGCACACATACCCAGCGTGAGTTTTAAGCCACCAGGTCCAGGACTCGAACTGCAGTTGACTACATGGGAGTCCAGCAACATAGCCATTATGCTAACTGCTGGTCCCTATAAATACATTTCTTTATAAATTATGTTTTCATAGGTCTCACAGGAAAGGACACAAATGCACGCGTGTGTGTGAGTGTGTGTACTTCTTAGGATTACCCAAGTGTGTGGTCTATTACACAGATTCACCCCAAGACTATAGGGCAAAACAATGAGGAGTAGATGCTCTGGCCCAGACAGACTGCTTCTAGACCTTCCTTGGGCACCAGCTCACCATGTGGCTTTCAGAGGTCGTGTCAATTCTCCAGGCCTAAGTCTTCTGTTTTATAACATGGGAGCATGAAAAGTACACACCTCATCTTATGTTGTAAAGTCTGTAGAAAATAACATATAGGAAACTGAGAAAATTTTATGTTCCAACTTGGCTAGACCACAGTGCCCAGATATTTGATCCAACATTATTCTACAAATCTCTGTCAAGTTGTTTTTGGAATGAGACTAATATTTAAATTGGATGTGTCAGTGTCCTCCATGATGTGAGCAGGACACACCTAATCAGTTCTAGGCCTTAACAGAATGAAGACTGACCTCCCCTGAGTAAGAGGAAATGCTGCCAACAAGGGGCCTTTGGATTTGAACTGCTGTTGTGCTCTGGGTCACTGCTGGCCTATCCTGCAGATTTTGGACTTACCCAGCCTCCATAATCACATGAGCCAATGCCTCAAAATAAATGAATTGATCTCCCTGTCTCTGTCTCTCTCTCTCTCTCCCTCCCCATCATGGTGAGTGACAGAGTAGTGTTGTTATGATCATTCTCTTGCTATTCAATCACCTCAGCCTGCTCACCCTCAACACGTTTCATCTGTCTTACCAGATGAAAGACAGCTAAGCCCACAGCCTGGGGCCCAAGCCTCCCAATCACCTCACCCACCTCCTGGATCCCCCACCACAAAGCCTGACGCCCCCCTCCCTGGCTCACACACTCCCCTGCTCCAGGTTCCCTACCAAGCCTGCCCAGCAGACCTGTAGAGAGGAACAGAAGTATTCCAAAGTGAATGGAGAGGGGAGAGTGATCTAGTCTTGGTTTTCAAGGTGTAAAGGAGGAAACTGAGATAGGGCAGATGCACTGGGCCAGCCCTGTGGCCTGGTAGTTAAGAGGGCAAAATCTCACATGGTTGACAGTGTAGTTTGAGCACCAGCCTCTGTGGCTTAAAAAACATGCTTGGCAAGGACCAGCAGGTGGCATAGTGGTTACAACGCTGGACTCCCACATGGCCCACAGCAGTTCAAGTCCTAGACTCGGTAGCAGGCATGTGTGCGTGCATGCTCAAAAATCCCAAGAGGAGATTGGAGACTGGATTGCGGCATGGCCATCTTCCCCAGGGGGTGATTTCTCACTCTCTCTGATGAGTGCGTGAGCCCTATAGCAAAAATATCTCTAAAACAATAAATAAATAAAACACTTGGCACATGTGTGCCCCAAATCCTGACAGATGAAGAACTGGAGAAGGGATTGTGGTGTAACCATGCCTCATTGGGGGAAGATTTTTCTCTCTCCTGCATTCTCCGTTTCTCTCTGGCAAGCACATCATTCTCTGACCATTAAAAGATAGAGTATAGATCATCAATCTGCCATTCAGAGGTAATTAATACAGAAATGTATTTGTGGGGTGCCGATTTCAGATAGGGCAGGGATGACAGGTAATGGGCAAGGTCACACGGACAGTAGGAGACGAGAGGACTTCGCGGGAAGTTCTATCCCTCTCAGTCCTTCTCTTGAAGTTCTATCCCTCTCAGTCCTTCTCTTGAAGTTCTATCCCTCTCAGTCCTTCTCCCAGAGCTGGTCTGGCCACTTCAGGAATCTTATTGGGCAATTCCAGTGCTCCCATCACTCCCCCTTATGAAGAATCCTACTCCAGAATCTCTGGATTGTTTTAATTGGGTTGTTTAAGGGCTGTCCCTGGACTCGGAGCTGAAGGGACATGAAGCGTTTCTGCTACATCTGGCAGACATGAGGACAGGTGTTTTCCAGAGTCTCCAACTGCCTGGGCCAGTCATGGTCTTTATGGAAATAGAAGTTTCTCTCCAGAAGAGATGAGGCTTCCTCCCTGGAGCTGTCCACCTCTGAGAAGTCCCACACTCCCAGGAAAAGAGGGAGGGAGGACGATAAGGGTAGGGAGGGCAGAAGGAGGGGCGCGGAGGGAGCTCGGCGTACCACTCCGAAGATGTGGGAGATGTACTGCATGCTGAACTGCTGGCTCTGGGGTGGCCAGTACTGCAAGAACGTGTCCACATCCACCCGCAGCTCCTTCTGCTCCTCCTCCCCGAAGTGTTCCACGTGGTTCTGCAAGTCATCCACAGAGACCAGGCAGCCCTCCGTGAGCCCAGTGCCCTCTCTCTCCACTCGCCACATGATGCGCGCCGCCAGCCTGTGGAGAGGGGCAGTGTTAGGGAAGCCCCGTGGCATTCACTCATTCACTCATTCAGCAAACACTTAGTAGCGCCTGATGCATGTCGGACACCATGTTGGGCCCAAATTCAGTTTTGAACTAGACAGCTGGAACTGCCTCCACCCTGATGCTTCCTATAGTAGGGGAGACACAGTGAAGATCATTTCAGGTAGCGGTAGCATTAAGTGGTAGACAGAAAATAGGCAAGGATGGTATGACAGACGGTGGCTAGAGGACAAAAGCTAAGGTGTCTGGGAAGGGTCACAGAGGAGGTACATTTGAGCTGGAACTGGGATGGACAAAAGGAGGCAGCTCTGAGGCCGGGAAAGAGCTCTGAGGCCGGAGAGAGAGAAAGAGAGGAGAGAGGGTGGCAAGTTCAAAGTTCCTGAAAAAGGAATGAGCTTGGCCCAGCACCGTGGAGAAAGAGCGGGACAGCTGAGGGGCAGGGCACAGAGAGCAAGTGGGGACCAAATGAAGGTGTGGCGTGGACGGGAGCCAGGTCACGTATGGTCCAGGAACACAGCCACCTGGGTCTAACCTGGCAGTATGGCCTCCTGGGATGAGTGATGGAAAGGGAATCTAAAGACCTGGCTTTGACCCTGTCTCCACTTCTTACTGTGTGACCCTGGGCAAATCGCTGGCTCTCCCTGAACCTAGGGACAATGTTCTCTGGAGTACATGCAGAGGTGTGTAAAGGGCAAAGCGAGGTTGTGGACATTCGTGGCATGTGTGGACTAGTATTCCTAATGGCTGAGTAACGAGCAAGTGGACAAGGCAATGAAGGTGGGGACACAGGCCAAGCAATGGCCTGGAGCAGCCATGGGCAAGTCATGCTAGAAGCAGGGAGGGCCTGGGCTGGCTAGGGCAGAGGGCTCTGTGGAGCAGGGGGAGGCAGGGTGGGACAGGAGGAGGCCCAGAGTACACAAGGTGTCGGGTGTGAGACAGAGGAGTACACTTCCTCCTGAGCCCTCCCTGTTAACTTCTAGGTGGCTCATTCCCACCAAATGAAGCCAGGGGTGCTTGGCATCTCTCTGCCCCCTGCTGACTGTGTGGGAGCAGCAGTGGCCCAGGACAGACCCTGTCTCAGAGGACAGACCCTTGGCAAAGCACAGGCCCTTTCTCCTCCTTTTGGGGTCCCAGAGTTATTCCTGGAGAGACGCCCTGCAGAAGACCCCAGGTTCCTGGAACTGAGGTGTCCTCACTTGGAGCGCAAGGCTGCACTGGGCAGAGTAAGACTCAGGATAGGGGTATAGGAGATCTGCCACCCCTAAATACTGAGACGTGGTCCCAAAGCCCAGGGAATAGAGGTTCTATCAGTGAGAGATTTCAGCTCTGCATCAGCAGTCACCCAGTGTCACACCACAAAGGCCGTTATTTGCAAACTCAAAAGCCCTTTTGGGTACGAGGGGCACGACCATAGGGAGCAGCAAGCTGTGGTGACTTGGAAAGCTCTGTATTTCTTTTTTTTTTCTTTCTTTCTTTTCTAATTTTCTGCAGAGTACAGGCACTTGCCAGAGAGAAAGAAAAAGAAAGAGAGAGAAAGAGAGGCAAAGGTAGGAGTGAGAAAGCACCCCCATGGGGCATGACCACCCTACAATCCTTCCACTCTCATTCTCCTCTCAGAATGTTGGAAGTGGAAATACATGCAACTAGCATGTTTTTCTTTTTCTTTTCTTTCCTTCCTTTTTTTTGTTTTTGTTTTTGTTTGTTGATTTGTTTTAAGCTTTTTGCCACTGGGCATGTGCACTCACCAGAGAGAAAGAGAGAGAAAGTGAGAAATCACCTGCCAGGCAGGATGGTCATGCCCACGGTCCCTTCTCCTTCATGCTCCTCTCAGGATTTTAGGCATGCACGCACATGCACTCGGCATGATTTCAAGCCACTGCTTCTCGGACTCAAATCATGGTCGGCCATGTGGGAGCCCAGTGCCCTAACCACCACATCACCTGCTGGCCTCCACCCTAACTTTTAAAATGTAAAATTTCAGGGAACCAGCAGTTAGCGTAATGGCTATGTCGCTGGACTCCCACGTAGTCGACCGCGGTTCGCGTCCTGGACCCGGTGGCTTAAAACTCACGCCGGGCCCATGTGCGTGCGTGCCCAAGATCCCGAGAGGAGAATGGAGGAGAAGGGATTGCGGCGTGACCATCCCCTCTGGCGGGTGATTTCTCGCTTTCTGTCTCTCTGTCTCTGTCTGTCTGGCAAGCGCACACACCCTATAGCAAAAAACTCTCAAAAAAAAAAAAAAAAAACTACTTTGAATGTTATATTTAGTGCCAAGTGTTATCACTGTGTTTTTTAAAAAAATTGTAAAATTTCCAATTTTTAAACTTGGCAGATCAGTTTTTAAACATCAGGGAGCCACACGGGAGGAGTCTACAGGCCAGCTCCAGCCAGCAGCTCACACTGGAATCGCTGCTGCCGACACCAGTTCTCCTTCTTAGACCTGAAGGGAGTGGACAGAAGTGGCCACAGCCTGTCTCTCTGAGGCTCCCTCCTGATTTGCTCTCAACCTGGCCCCTTCAGCCCTGGGAATGCTGTCACCACCACCATCCCTGCCCAACATGGGGTGCAAAGGGGACCCCAAGCACCACCTGGGGCCCAGCTCTGACCTGATGTTCTCATTGGGCACCTTCCCATATCTCTTGATGGCCGAACACTCATTCTTGTGGTTCAGCCAGGCATCCTTCTGGCAGGTGCGGTCGCAGTAGTGGGCGAACTTGCACTGCCCACAGCGATGGAGCTTCTCCTGCCTCTTGAAGCAGGTGTGGCACACGAAGTTCACGAGGCTGCAGAGGGAGGGAGAACACATGACCAGGGCACAGTGGTAAGGGCACCACCTCCGCTGTTGGGAGATCTCTGTGGGCCAGCCCTTGCCCTTCTAAGCATCAGATCCTCACTTTTTATTGCAATTTATCTATTTCTTCTGAGAGAAAGAGAGCACACCGCCTCCAATAGGGTCCTTACCCTGCAATCCGCTCCTAGCTTCAACCAACACAAATCACACACACACATACATGCACACCTGGCATGTGCAGAGAGGTCTCAGGATGTGAACTCGGGACATTCCCAGGTGAGCGCAGCACTACAGAACATTGTGTTAGTACTCTACCACCATCTGGCCCTCCCTGCTTTTCAAAAGTCAGGATGCAGGTTTCCAAAGGTTCCTTCCAGTGATAACTAATCCGTTAGCAGATATTTGAAAGTGACCCCAGCATAAGAGGCACGATTGCTTCCTGCCTGGATGTCTTTCAATTCAGTTCAGCAAGTGTGATTTCATGGCCCAGAGAATCATGGAACTAGCGTTCACCATGCAGTGTGATGAGCACTATGATGGGAGCATGGGGCATTTCTGGGACGACTGGAGAAGGCATCTGAGGAGCCTGGGAAGACCGTTAGGCTGAGAGAATGGGTCATAATCCCTCATGGATCCCTGGCCAAAAGCTATGGGTCATTGACACCATGTCGTGGGAGGGGACATTTTATGTAGAGCATCCTTCTTACTACGGAAATGTAATGTCCACTTCCCAAAAGAATAACAAATCATAGCTACTTACACTGTGATGGAACAAGAAAGGTTATTGTTTGATACACAAAATGAGGACCCTCCCCCCACTCTGGTAATGTCACTATTCCTTGTGTTTTGCTTAAGAATCACAAGGTTACTGATGTCACTGATGTCAGCTGACGTTTTCTCCCAGCTCAGAGAGGTGGAAGTGATGAGGAGAAATAATCCATGCCCATTCAACAGATGAGGGATAGAGCTCTAGGAAGATGAGGCTCCTTAACTGGTATTCCACTAGAGAGCCACGTGTGTCCATGTCAAACCCGTCATTCAAACACAGAGGAGCACGGATGACATAGGAAATGTATCTCAAGGCAAAACTGGGCGTACAGAGTGAGCAAAATCTGGCGTGATGCACAATATGTTGGGGCCCCAACTGTATGTTCCTGCACCGTGGGGAAGAGAAATCCCAGCAACAAAAACTAACGGGTGGTGAAAACAAATTCAGTAACATTAGCCACTAAAGCTAACGGGTGGTGAAAACAAATTCAGTAACATGGAGGGAGGTGCTGAGCTCCCTGGGAGCATGTGGATAAATAAATAGAGTTGACAGTCTAAACAAGGATTTCGAAAACATAAGAAAACAGTATTTTTTTTTTCTTTTGCTATAGGCCAGGTGCACTTCTCCAGAGATAAAAAGAAAGAGAGAGAAAGTAAGAAGGTCCCCATACAGGGGAATGGCCACACAGCAAGCCCTTTTCTTCCATTCTCCTCTTGGGATTTTGGGTGCACACACACACACACACACACATCCGAGACTCGAACTGTGCTGTTGGCCATGTAGGATCCAGCCACCTTAACCAGCATGTCACCAGCTGATCCTAAACAGGGGCTTTTAGAAGCACAGACTTATAGAGCCTGGAGGAAGAAATTTCAACAGAACATTCAAGTACAGAAGTCCTGTGTGTTCATTCCTGACCATGAATTTTCTAACTCCCACAGTGAAAAAGCTGTCTGCTTCTAAGTGCAGTTTACTCTTGTTGGCCAGCCCTAACTGCCACAGATACCCTCCTGTGTAAAGCTGGAATTTGCCTCCCCAGAAAACTTACTCACGAACCCTAATTTGGCTCTTCAATCCTTGCTCAGTGGAACAACCCACCCAAGTCAATCCTCCAAGAATTAGAAGACCACTGGCATACGTCCCCCTCATTTCCTCTCTAACCTACTTCCATCTCCTTTAACACTTCCTAATACAACCTGGATTCTGGAATTCTTACATCACTCTGGGGCCCTCCAGTGTAACTGTAGCAGGTCCCTACAGGAGTGTATAGAAGGGTATAGAAAGGATCAAGCAAGAACTAGCATTGGTGCTAACAGGTCAGGCTCCAGGACCAGTTCAAAGGCCAGGTCCCATGGTCCCACTGTGGCATCCAGAAAGGGAAAGACAGGAGCAGACCTAGCTGAGCACTGCCTGGGCTACTGCATTAAACCAGGTGCTGACCTTCTCAGAGTCCAGGCAGTTTTCAGCCTCTGGCTGGCCAACTCAGCACACCCTATGGCCCCATCTGCTGTGAGGCACATTGCTAGTAATTTATTAATAATCATAAAGTAATTGAGACTGTGGAAGGTCAGTGCTTATTTCTAATTTAGAGCAGATTCCAGGTCATCCCCGTAACGATGGCTTCCTTACTCATACACTCCTGTCCTCTTAAGCTTCCCTAGTGAGAGGAGGAGTAGAATTACACTCGCATACTTAGAATAGCACAGAATCCACAGTCCATAATAACTAAGCCACAGAGGATGTACTGCTATTGAGGTCATTTGTCATGAGTGTCCCAACAGAATAGAAGGCATGGGCTCACATGGGGCCTCAACCATTTAGTGGACTCTCCAAACCCCTGGAGATAAGGAGCGATGAGTTTCTCACATCCGTCCCAAGTCAGGCTTGTATTCTCTGTCGGGAATTTAATTAGCAGGGACTGGATTGCTGAAAAATCCAAGTGAATTAAACCCCAAAGGCTCAAAATCTTGTCTTGTGGCCACTCAAAAGTGATACCTAAATGGCAACACTAGAATTCTGGTGCCCAAGACAGAATACTATAGACAGTTGTGCTATTTATACTTCCTGGATATTTTTTTTAAAGAAGTACTTATTTAATTTTATTTACTATTATTTTTTAATTTGCTGTGGGGAAAAATGCTCATGAGAGAGCAAGAAGGAAAATGTGAGTGAGAGAAGGAAAATGTGAGATAGAGGAGGAAAGTGAGAAAGCAAGCTGCCAGGCCCAGGCCTCGACCTGAGGTTGGCCATGTGGGAGTCCAGCGACCCATCTACCATGCCATCTGCCAGCCCGCACTTCCTGGATCTTAACATCAATTTTTTCCATTAGTTTCTTTAGCAAAAATTCACATAAATTTAAGGTCCAATTATAGTCACTAGAACCTCTGAGTTTTCTCAAAGGTCCTGTAGTTTCAGAGTTTCCCTCTGTTTTTCCATATGACATTGCATTTTTTAAAACAGCTTTATGGAAGGAGAATTGACATACAATAAATTTCAGACATTTAAGCTGTACCCTTTGATGAGTTCTGACACATGCAGCTACCATGATCACAGTCAAAATAATGAACGTGTCTACCACCCTCCAAAGTTTCCTCATGACACTGAACTTATTAGCATGGAGAATTCACCTTTGTTCCTGCCTGGTTGCTTTCAAGGTAGCCTTCCAAACTACCAAGACTATTTTGCCTTTTGATTGCCCAGGCCTCGACCTGAGGTTGGCCATGTGGGAGTCCAGCGACCCATCTACCATGCCATCTGCCAGCCCGCACTTCCTGGATCTTAACATCAATTTTTTCCATTAGTTTCTTTAGCAAAAATTCACATAAATTTAAGGTCCAATTATAGTCACTAGAACCTCTGAGTTTTCTCAAAGGTCCTGTAGTTTCAGAGTTTCCCTCTGTTTTTCCATATGACATTGCATTTTTTAAAACAGCTTTATGGAAGGAGAATTGACATACAATAAATTTCAGACATTTAAGCTGTACCCTTTGATGAGTTCTGACACATGCAGCTACCATGATCACAGTCAAAATAATGAACGTGTCTACCACCCTCCAAAGTTTCCTCATGACACTGAACTTATTAGCATGGAGAATTCACCTTTGTTCCTGCCTGGTTGCTTTCAAGGTAGCCTTCCAAACTACCAAGACTATTTTGCCTTTTGATTCTGTCACCTTTTATAATGGTATGCTAAACTTAGAGTCATTTGCAAATTTGATGTCTTAGACTGGGAAAGAAAAAAAAATGGGAAAAAAAATGGTCCTGGGGTTATCAGGACCTAGACTAGGAATACAAACCCAAGGCAAAAACATGGCCTGGAGAGGGGACAGTTAGAAGCAAGCCCAAATATGCTGACCATCCCTCAGAACTTGTCACTTGTAACTCCATGCCTGGCCATTCCAGGAATGCCCATCAGAGAACAACTCTATATACTGAGACTGCTCTAATATCTGACACCCAAGTTGGTATTTTTAGACTATTCTAGGATGTTGTCATATGTGTATTCATATATGTGTACGTACTTCATAGATTCCCAAAAACTGTGCCTGCCAAAGAAAACTATTACATTCTCACAGTTCTCATTCTATTTCACCGTTTTAACTTTTAAATGCAGGGACCAGTGGATGAAGTAATAGTTACATTGCTGGACTCCCACATAGTCTACTGCAGTTCGAGTCCTAAATCTGGCAGCTTAAAGCACTCGGGGCACGTGTGCATACATGCCCAAAATCCCGAGAGGAGAATGGAGGAGAAGGGATCATGGGGTGACCATCCCCCTGGGGGGGGGGTTTGATTTCTCGCTTTCTGTCTCTCTGTCTCTCTATGTCTCTCTGGTGAGTGCACATACCCTACAACAAAAATCTCTCTCAAAAAAAAAAAAAATTAAGTACACTTAAGAACTCCAAGTCATCACCTAGTAGAACACAAATTCTTCTTAGTCATCTGTATAATCACTATGCATTTCCAGTATAGTTAAAAATCAGGAGTAAGAGCCAGCAGGTGACATAGAAGTTAAGGCACTAGATTCCCACATGGCCAACCGCAGTTTGAGTCCTGGACCTGGTGGCTTGAGAATTATACCAGGTATGTGTGCATGCATACCCAAAATCCCTAGAGGAGACTGGAGAAGAGTGTGGTGTGGCTGGACTATGTAATATCACATAAAATGCTGGAATCCACAGTATTACAACAGCTGGAGACATAGGACATGGTCAACGCAAGCT